TATGATCAAAGAATTTTATGCAAATGTAGATTGTATATGTAAATAAATACCTGTTAGGTCCCTTTTTAAAAATTAGCATATTCTAAATAATAAACTATTTTGGTGCAGAGGCCTGTTCTGTAGACATAGCTCCGAATACATATTTCCTATAGACATCTTCTATTTACAAATAACAAAATAATAACTTATCACGAAGTATTTCCTTCTGCTGAACTGGATGATGGTGGATCTGGAGATGAGGTCAAATGGAAATCTGTTTGTGAAAGGCATTTTAATTATGTCATTCATGTGGAGAGCTAATACTTTGAAAGATGAATTTGTATTGACCTGAGAAAATTGGCTAGAGTGAGTCACCATTACTGGATATATTGAATTTTCCAAGAGAGGAAGTATGGGATCATGGGAGAAATCATTGGATTTGAAATTTGATGCCCTGGCTTTGAATTTCTACTTACTTACTAGCTGTGTAACCTTGGGTAAGTCACTTTACTGAGTTTCAGTTGCTTCGCTGGTAAAATGAGGGTTACAATACTTGTATTACCCATCTCACTAGGTTGTTCAGGGGGACGTTCTTTTCAAGTTGCAAAGCACTAATCAAATATAAGCTATGATTGTGATTATTTAAACAAGCAACTGAAATATAAATTTCATGATTACTTATCTCACCTCCAATAATTATTTTTCTAAAATGAGAAAGAAATGGGGTAGAAGGGATGGATAGAAGAGAGAAAGAGGAAAGAGGAGAGGAGAAAGGGGAGGAAAGAAAGAGAGAGGAGGGGGAAAGAGGGGAAGAGGAGAAAATGAGAACTCCTATTGTGGCCTACTGTGGAAACAGGAACATTTACTAGATCAGTATGGAGTCATTTTCCTGCAATAAAGAACTAGTAGGACAGAGACAATAGAAGTGAGCTGTGGGAGAAAAGAACAATGGAACCTAGGTCATGAAACCTAAGCTCAGTTCAAGTTTTGCCATCAACTAGCTGGGTACCCTTTGCCAAGTTACTTTCCCTTGTGGTTCTCTGTTTCCTTAAGGAAAGGGAAGGAGAGGGGCACATTTTATTATTTCCAAGGGCTTTTTCCTCTTAGCCTAAAGTTTGAAAGAGTGGAATGATTATGCACTGGAACACCCTTGGGGAGTCAGGGCACAAGGCAGGGCTTATGAACTACCTCCCAGCAGTCCCTGAAGAAGGTATGCTTGTTTTCATCACTGTTGCTTAATAGTTTTATTGCCTTCTAGGTAAGCTATATCTTATGACATTTAGATGCTAAAATAATAGTTGCAACAAAAAGAATTTGGCTTAATAGGATATTTGTAATAACTGGAATTCTCCCCACTAAATGACTTTTCCCTGTCTCCCATGACTCAAGTTGTCTTAAGGAAGCCAGAAATGCTGATTGTTTTGCCTGACAAGGAATTTTGATAGTTCTTTCCCCAGGGTTATGTGGCAGCCAGGTGTCACTGACCCGGGAGGGTAGGAGAGAAATCTAGTGAGTGGCAGCTGATCTAATCTTGATGTAAGCAACTCTTTGAAAAAAAAAAGAAAAGAAAATTGAAGGCACAAGTGCAAAGCTAATTAGTTCATTTTGGAGTTGGTTGGTTCATAGATTTAGACCTTGGTGAATTCCCTTCATTTCTCAATACCTCAGGTTCCTGATCTGTAAAATGAGGAGGTTAACCTAGAAGACCTCTAAGGTCTCTTCCAACTTTCAGTCCTATGATCCAACTTCTTTACTCTTTGATTAACTGTTCTCAGAAAGAAAGAGCCCTTAGAGGCAGTGTGGTGCAGTGCAGTGAGCATAATGGATTCTGAATCAGAATACTTGAGGTTTGCTGCTCACTCTGCCATGCACTATGTGGGTGACCTTGGGAACATCATTTGGGCTCTTTGGGTTTCAGTTTTCCCTTCTGTAAGATGGGGGGGGGATTAGGCTAGCTGTCCTCTATGGTTTCTTACAGCTCTAAATCTCTGATCCTAGAATTTCTCTACTACCAAGCTTATCAATAAGAAAGGCTGGATGTGGCCTCATTCAGATACATCTTTACTTCTATGCAAAAGTGTATCTAAAACAAATATGAGACTTATTCTTCACTTATTCTTCACATTATCATAAATTAAATTAGGAGCCTCCTCCAGGGCTCAATAATTAGAAAATACTTCTTTATGCTTACTGCTTAGCCTAAATATTCCTTGCTATCATTTAAACTCCTCTTACTCTAACCACCAGGGAAGCAGAAATTAACTGCTCACCATCTTCCTTCAAATAAACTTTTCAGATGGCTCATATCAGCTCTCTCCTTCTTTGTTCATGGAGGCTGCCCAGCTGGTATTCCCAAAAGGGATCATAATTTCTACTGCCTTGCCTCTGGTAGGAATAGCTTATGATCCCCTTGAACAACCCAGCTGTTCCTCTAACCAGGCTAAGCTAATGGTGACTGTAGCTTAATCTCTTTTACGGCATGTAAAGTTTCATGATGTGTGGACTTCTGGACTCCAGCCTGCTGGTGGCAGGGCTACTGCTGCCTGATATGAGTCATAGAATCATAGGCTTAGAATTGGAAGGGAAGTCAGGTATCATCTAATCCGATCCCTACCAAAATCATGAATCCAATTTGCAACATACAGCTAGACATGGGGAGCTCACTAACCCCTAAGCCAGCTCATTCTGCTTTTGGACAGATCTAATTGTTAGGAAGTTTTTCCTTATGTTGATCTGTAACTCATATTATTGGTTCCTTTTGCCTTCTCAGAAATAAAGACAACACACCTCTTTATGAAAGCACTTCAGTTAGCTGCAGAAGCAGCTAGCTTTCTCCCCCTTTCCCCCCACCACAGTACTCTGTTCTCAAGGGTGAACACCTCCAACTCCTTTAACTGTCTATCCATGAATTTGATTGGCCTCGCCAATTTCATTGTTGTACCCATTCCAACTTGTCAATGTCCCTTCTAAAATGTGGTAATCAACCTCTCTCCCTTTTTTTTTGCAGAGGTAGGGTTTTATCAGTGTGAAACACTCGTATACCATCAGAGCTGGTTAACTTTGGTTAGTTTTGTTGAACTGCTTTGCCTCCTTCCCCTATTTCTTATTTATTCCTTATTATAAGGGATGACTGAGTAAAAGGGAATAGGGATGTACATGGGAATGAAGGTGATATGAAAACAAAAGATATCAATGCAAATTTAATAATCAAATAAAAATGTGGCGTCAAGAATCAAAGTACTCCAGATATAATCTAAGAGAGAGTACATTAGGATTATCAATGGGGGTAACATAGGACAATGGAAAGCTCGCTGGACTCGGAATCAGAGGATTTGGGTTCAAATCCTGCCTCTAATACTTATTACATGTGTGACGTTGGGCAAGGTGTTTAACCATTTTGGGCCTCAGTTTCCTGATCAGTAAAATAAGAGGGTTTGATTAAATAACTTCTGAGTGTCCCTTCCAGTTCTATTCCCATGATCCTATGCTCTTCCTTGCTCTGGGCTCTATAATTGTCCTACTGCAGCCTGGAAATGGAGCTTTTGCGGCTCCTACATCATATGCTGACTCATATTGAGCCTTTGCAGTAAGCTCTTTATTCTATTACGGGTAATAACAGAAAACTAATCTTACTAAACATATGGGAACTACAGTTTCTAAGACTGTGAGGAATGGTACATCCATCTAGGCATGTAGGCTAGAGGACTCCATTAGGTGACTGTCTTTATACATGGGACCACCACTTTTTATCCACTAGGGCTTACTATGGGCCAGTAGGCATGGGGATGGGTTGGGGAGTCTGACTAGGGCCACTGAGGACCAATGCATGCATCTTATCAGTTGAGGAGAATGTTGGCAGATTGAAAGGTAGCTGGGTAGCCTCTTTTCAAAGCTGCCTAAGAGCACAGGATGCTGTCAATCATAAAGCATGCTGTCATTTCCTTTAAGCTGCAACTAAATTCCATTAAAAGGATTTTCAAGTTATTGGGAACCTGTGGGATAGGTTTGGCTGTAAGAATCTCTTTTCTACCCAGAAAATGGAAATATACTCAGGCCCCTTGGCTCTCAATAGGATAAACTTCCTCTATGATTAAATTGATTTAGCTTGAAATTCTTTTCAACAGGGGAAAAATCTCTTTGAAATACTGGATTACAAAATTTTCAGAGAATTCACCTTAAGTCTGCCTTGGGTAACTTACTCTGGCAAGTCTTAGATAGGAAAGAGAAGCCAAATGAGTTTCTGAAAAAAGGGAGAAACTGAGGCTAGAAGGGCTTGAGTCTATAGTCCCTTTTAGATTATTTGCATGCATGCAGACGTGTGTGAGGAAGGATGTAGGGGAGGCATGGAGAGAGAAACTACTTCAGAAAGACCAGAGAAGTCATTATGAAGAAGAAGCCTTTCACATTTGAAAACAGATGGTTCCTTAGGGAAGCTGTCACAAGGCTGTGCCATTGGTCAAAGAGGTAAATCCAGATGCCTAAGATGGGATGTAACCCCAAATGGGGTCATAAAGAGTAAGAATGGCTAATCAATTAAACAACGACAACAATGTTCTGCTATTTACTAATTTGCCTTTAACTTTGCTACTGAACAGCATACTGGACTTGGTCTCAAAGACTTGGGCTTGAATTCTATCTCCACTGTTGACCATTCATCCCCAGTCTTCCATGCTTCAGGGATATTCTATTGCCTGAACTGCATGTACCTTTTCTCATACCTGGCTGCCTTCAAGATTGAGTTCAAATCTCATGTTTTACGGAGGGCTTTTCCCATTCCCCACAGCTGCTATTCTTTTCTCGTGTACACTGTATATACCTTGCATGTGTCTAGTTATGATAACTTGTCTTCCCATTAGAATGAGATCTCCCTGAAGGCAGAGATTGTCTTTGCTTATATATGCAACACTTACTCAACCTGGCACATGGTAAGTGCTTAATAAATTATTGCTGACTGATTTCATTCACAGGATCATAGATTTACAGCTGGGTAAACTGAGGCCCAGAGAAGTCAAGGTCACACACATAGTAAAGTGACAGAGGCAGGATTTCAGCCTTATCTCTCTGAGCCTCTGTTTCTTCATCTATAAAATGGAGTCAATAATTTTGTGTTGTGTTACAGGAATGTTGTGGAGAATGTACTCTGTAAACTGTAAGGTGCTCTGTAAAGTAGAGTGATGGAAAGATGACTAAATGTGTAGTTAGTGGATGTAGGTTCAAATTCTGCCTTGATGACTTTACTAATTGCATGACCTCAGGGGAATTGCTTCACCTTCCTGGGCTTAGGTTTCCTTATCTGTAAGATGAAAAGGACAGAACAAATGGGTTCTAAGATTCCCCCAAGTTCTAGAACCTATTTTTGAGCACAAAATAAAATTGTACCGTTAGTTAATGGGTCATAGAAGAAAAATTCCTGTTGGGGTGGGGAATATGCAGATGGATAAAAGGAGAGTGAAAATTTCAGCCAATCAAATCACTAGCTGCTCAGTCCTAACAAATATTACTTTATTGACAAAGCCCTAAGACATCCATGCATCAATGATTTGTGTGTACTCCTAGGGGTGGGGGAGAGAACACTTACTGGTCAGTTTTTAAGGACAAAGTATTGGGGAATAAAGATTTGGGGAGAGAATTCTCAGCCTCTACTCATATTTTCATACTCTAGGTTGTAAATTTCATGGACATTTGGTATTTGATACGATATTTTTATATTGGTGAAAAGGTATCTGGTTATTCAGAATTTTACTTATCTGGTGACCTAAGTAGAGTATGTGATCCTTGGTAAGGCCGGACGGAAAACAGGTATGGGTAAGCTGAGATTAGAGAAAGGAAAAGATAGGTGTCACTCAGAAAAGCTTAATGAGGTTGACAGATACAAAATTACTTTTCCCAGGTCCTATCTTTAGTCCACTAATTTTTAGAGAGTCCACAAACACCAACAGCCACAAAACACTTGGTCAACAGCATTGCTGGTTTGGAATGTGTTGGGATAACAGCTTGGCTGCACGGTTCTCATGAGGGCCGTTAGCCGATGCTGGGCACGTGGGGCAGGATTAATCAATGGGAATGTTCAGAGGATGAGGCATCATTTGAGAGCATCATTTTTACAACCCTAATGTGCTCCCAGATACCCCTTCCCCATTATATTTAACTGAAGAGATGTGATTAAATTGTATTTGTGTGTCCCCCGAGCTAGGTAGAGCCTGCTGAGAGGCACCCCAACAACACTGCTTACAAATCTGTCCAATCCCCCAGTGATTGGAATGGGCATTATCTACGCCCTGCAAAACTCGACTGTCTGTTAGCCACTCTTGTACAGGATGCACAGCATGCAGTCTTATAATAGGTGTACACACAGAGCCGGGCCTGGACCACCACGTTGCAGTTGTAGTATTTGTCTTTGCAGTTTTCATCTGGGGTGAAAGAGAGAAAAGTTTCAATAAACATCCTCCTCCCAAATTCCTGTGCCTTTCTGGTAGTTGTACTCTAGTTGAAATGCTAGCACCTCTTATGTATACCTGGACCTTCAGAATAGTGATGTGGTAGTTAAATGGAGAGAGTTGAGACCACTTTGTTAGATCCCCTTTTCAGGCCTCTAATGTTTTCTGGAGGACTGCCAACTTTGCCTTCCAAATTGGTGAGACAATATAGGAGAGGGTGTGAACAGCTGGTTTGTTGGTACTTCAGGTAGGTAGGGTCAGAGTTCTGAAAATGTATTTATTCTTCGTGCTCAAAGGGGTGGGTGTATCAACAGCCTCTTCAGTGAGCCTCTAGGCATAAAACTGCAACAGACTAGAAACTCAGTAAGGAAAAACTGGTGCAATCTGTTGTCCAAAGATTGATTTAAGCTAGTCAAGTGTAGTGTCTGAAAAATCATGCATATTGAGGTCCAATTCTTTGAATTTTTATAATGTACACAATTTGCCCTATGAGAATGACATTTTAAGAAAGCTAGTGCAGCATAATAGATGGAGGGCTGGCTCTCTAGAAATCAGTAGGACTTAGGTTCAAGTCCTGTCTCTATTATACACTAGTTGTGATATCTATGTGTGTGCACATACACACACATACATGTATCTATGTGTATATATATATTCATATATATGCATATTTTACATGTTTTTGTATATATTTGTATGTCTCTAGATAGTTTTATATATATATATATATATATATATATATATATATATATATATAGACAAACAGATCAGAAATTCATCTCTTCGTTAGAACATGTCCAATGTTATTGAAAGATGAAGAGATTTGCCTATGGTTACCAAGTGTTTGTTAGAGGCAAAATAAACCAAGGCCTTTCTGTCCCCAGGGCCAGCCTTCTTTATCAAACTGCCTACTATAGACTTCAAAGTATTCATGATTCTGTTGGTATTGGTAATATCTCTGTTGATAGAGATTACAAACCTCCTAGACCATCATACATACTCTTCATGAGTTGCTCCAATTAAAGAAATTAAACTTCTAGTAACATGCCTCTGAACTCAGAAAGGTCGTTTTTCTTTGATAGACACATTGGACTGTACTCAAGACTTTCCAGATTAGTAAGGTCTTTCAAGGTCTACTGACATTTGAATGAATGAATGAAAACAGATTTATTAAATGCCTATTAAGTAGGCATTTGAGAGCCCAAGGTTCCCTTCACTCCATGATAAGTTATCAGAAGAGTAGGAATGATTTTAATGAAGTCAGTGTGTGTGTGTGTGTGTGTGTGTGTGTGTGTATCTGTCATCTATGCAAATAGATATATGGAGACACTAAAATATAGAATTTTGGGAAAAGATTCAAATTACTAGTGATGTATTTGTAAAGTAAGTGAAGGGAATGTTAAAGAGACAAAAGAAAAGAAAAAAAGAATAAAAGAACAAAACTGTGCTGGTTACAGGTCATTTAATATGGTTCACTTAATATGAAGAAAAATGATAAATTGTTGTACAGAGAAATCTTAATCTGTATTTTGCTTTTTTTGCTTCAGAAATGCAGGAGCAGACTTACATGATAATTACCTAAACATTATCTCCCTACCAGCTTTTACTATAACTTGGGGTTTCCATCATCAGAATTATTATTGGAGTGGACCAAAAAAAGCACATTGTCTCCAGAAAGATTCCATTAGAATGTACACATATGCCTTAGGAGAGCCCATTTATACCTTTTTTTTCTAGATTTATTTACCAGGTTGAGGGCTGTGACACCTAGACATACTTTGTTACTATCCAGCTTTTCTCTCTCTTCTTAATAGAAGGCATGATGACACTTAAGGTACCTGAATACTTTCTCCTATAGATGGAAGACTGGGGTTCAAACACCAGGATTTCCAACTCACCAATTTCAGGGATACAGTCCTGAGGATTGCAAGATTCTTTCTCTTCTGGTTTAGACTGAGGGTCACATTGGTTACTTGGTGTCATGTCATCTGATAGACATCGTACCTCTCGTACCCGGAATCCACCTTGGCAGCTTTTGGAGCACTGAAGTAAATGAGGGAAGAGAGAAGAAGTTAGGATGCCATAGTTTTAAGCAGTTTATTGCCTCTAGAATACTTGGGGGGAGGGGAAGTCTAGCTAGTTTGTACCTTTTCTTCATACTGGGTGTGTGTGCGTTTGGGTGAGTAGGTGTGTAAGAACTGCTTTTTGTTTTATGATCTTATTGTACTTTGGACACAAAAGATGTTTAATATAAATGTTTGTCAAATTAAATTGTTGACTTGAATGTGTGTGTGTTTGCATGCACATGCAGTTCTAATCAATGTGGAAAGAAAAGTACATGCATAATGAAAATGTTTCCATGGGGTCATGCTTACACAGGTAAGCATTGTTTGCTAATTCTCTGTGGTTTCATGGGACCTTAGGTAGCTGTTACAAGAAGAAAATCCATGTCCCTCTGTATACCTTATATTTCTGTTCTTAGAGGGAAAAGTATGTGGGAAAATCATCTTATTTATATCCTCATTGATTTGTGCTTATGGGAAGCTTTTTTTTTTTTAATTCAGATCAAATGCTCATGGCTAAAGCACCGTCCCTCACCCAGTGGCAACTTGCTCAAATTGCAGATGTTGTAGTTGGCCTGGAAGAGCCTCAGAAACAGGGGTTCTTAAACTTTTGTTGTGGGCCAGGGACCCCTTTGTCAGTTTGATGAAGCCTATGGACCCCTGAAATCTCTATCTAAAGATCCCAACTGTGGATCTTAGGTAATGAACCCCTACTCTACATAGTTTGAAATAATCTGTGTATATCTGCAACAGACAGGGCCACTACTAGATGAAATAGTTCAGCGATCATAGGAACAATGAAACCCTATCAGCATTCATTCTCAGTTTCTCTAGCTTTTGAACACAGTAGATATTCCATGGCTTTTTCCAGAGGACAGACAGGTAACAGAATTTAGAATTGCAAGGGACGTTCAAGCTATAGGTCAACTATCTTGCTTATAGATGAGGTGACTGAGCCTCAGAAAAGGGAAATGAATTGGCCAAAGTCATACAGGTAAATGGAACAGCTGAAATTTGAACTGAGATCTTATGGCCCCAAATCCAGTCTTCTTTCCATGGTACCATTCTGACTAGCATCAGAAATCCATATTAAAAGGAAAGGTTCAAAAGAAATGAGCTTGGTTTCAGTAGGACTTACTAGTTCAATAAGATCATAAGAAAGTATAGGGACAACTACACGTTTTTTAAACACAAGCCAATTTGACTCCTTAATGGTAAAAGATTCTTTAGGGTGGATTTCTAGGTTACTGAACCACGGCTTGTCCAATTCAACCAATAAGAAAATTCATCAATGTACCTCTCTAGCGCTGTTGAGCTCATGTGACTATTTTAGCAAAAAGAATCAAATTGCTTAAAACAACAATTGTAAAGTGATATATCCCACCAGCTAGGGGTGTTTGAATGACTTAGATTTATCTGTCCTATAAGAACAATGGAATTGATGTTGGAAAATATGCTGGACTGGAGACATGATTTTGACTCTCATCTCTGCTACTTAAGGAATGCAAAACATTTTACGTTTATTATCTCATTTGATCCTTAACAGCAATGCTATGAGATTATTACCCTCGATTTTTGCAGAGGAAAAAAAAAGACTAAGTTCCCAAAATTTTACAAAGGTATGAGAGAGTTTTTTGAGCTAAGGTGTTACTGACTTCAATCTCAGAACTCCATCTACTAGACTACCTGGTTGCCCAAGTTATTTAACTTCTCCGGACTTCTGTAGGGAGTTAGACCACATGTCTTCTAAGATCTCAGCTCTAATTCTCTGCACAATCTGTCGACATAGGAATTGAGGATGGCTGCACACATCGTATCTAAGGCCCCTCAGGCTAATGCTCATTGTGTGTGGATGGGGATTATTGCCAGCTTCAGAGTTTTGGTACCTCAACACATCCCTGCTTTCCTTAACACTGCATTGAAGACCTGTCAATCACGAATGCATCTGAATCATTTGGGAACCTGTTTACATTTTTGGCCTCTATTAACTTACAAACATATGGAGCTCCATTAAGTTTATTACTCTTATGTTAAAATAATCCTTCCTTTTATTTTGCCCTAAACATATCTTTCTTTAAGCTTCAAAGGTTTCATGGAAAGGAAAAATAATCTCTGTTTACCTGATCCATTTTTTTTAAAAGAAGGCAATGATCACATAACTTCTTTGTCTTTATCTTTCCAGACTGAAGAATTATAATTATTTAAGCCCACATTCATTAGGCACTGCCCTCATTCCCTTTGAGTTCCCTTTTCTCCAGATTCTCTCTAGTTCTAGTAGTTTCTTTCTTGAAGTCTAATGACCAAAACTGCATATGGTATTCTGCATATAAATGCCTCATGAGAATTGTGTGCCTGTAAATATCTGTGTGTGCACTAAATACTAAATTAGCCATTCTGGTACCAGGCTAAGCAGCATATAAGGTGTCTGCAAAACTGTGATGGGGGTGGGGTGGAGAAGACTATGGGGAGAGACCTCAGACTCCAACATATGAGTTTCATAAGAATAGCAGAGATTGACCTAATTTATTACAAATCTCTTTGCTGACAGTTCTAAATGCATAAAGTATTATGGTGGAAGACACTGTGGGATTGTTTAAGCCCACTTCTGGGTGAAGGGCAAAGTAGGGTCAGAATGGGTAGGAACTCACCTGAGATATGGTTTCTGGGAGAAAATATGCCAGGTGTTGACTTTTTGGTTTTTGAGCAATTATTTTTTTTTAAATATAAAACTATTTATTTTTAGTTTTCAACATTACTTCCACAAGTTTTTGAGTTCCAAATTTTCACCCCATCTCACCCCTCCTCCCACCCCAAGATGGCATGCATTCTGAATATCCCTTCCCCTAGTCTGTCCTCTCTTCTATCTGTCCCCCTTTCTCTTATCCCCTTCCCCTTCTATTTTTCTGTAGGGCAGGAAAGACTTCTATACCCCATCTCCTGTATTTCTTATTTCCCAGTAGCATGTAAAAACATTTTTTTTAAACATATGTTTTTAAAACTTTAGGTTTCAAATTTTCTCTCTTCCTCCCTCCCCACCCACCCTCATTGAAAAGGCAAACAACTCAATATAGGTTATACATGTGCAGTTATTTGAGCAATTATTTTTGCTAACTAAGGCTAAGCTTAGTCACATCTACCAGCTGGAGAAATATAAATGCTGTCCTCATCTTATAAATTTTAATGCCTGAGTAGCCCCATCTTAGTTACAGCCCTAATATGCTCAATGTTACAAATATTTTCTGCTTTGTTTGAAACAACCTTTCGGATGATCCTCAAAGTCTTATTGGCCACAGCAGCACTTTTAAAATATCTATCAGGGCTTCTTTTTCCTAGATTATAACTGGTCTCTCTGAGCCCATCATTCTGTAAGTATAGTTTGGATTATCTTCACCAAGTTCTTACATGTCCCTGTAGCGAGGCCCTGTCATTTGGCTGCCACACACACATAGCCTGGATCAGCTCTTCCTTCATTTTTTTCCTCCACGGACTCAGACTTCACAAGTTTTTCTCATTCTGTTCTCTGTTAACCAGATGGCTGAGCAACAACATTGTTTCTGTTTCCTTAAAGCACCTTACAAATATTAACATCATCACATTCCATTTCTCAGAAGGAGAGAAAATGTCCCTCACATCAAACACATGGCTTTCAGTCTGCTTCTGGGCTGATGTATTAAATAGTTGAAGGATTGTTATCAAGTAGCACAAATGCAGTATTTGGCAACTGGCTTCTCAGAAGCTTTTCTAGTGTGTTATAAAAGTTCCCCTAGAAGCCCTGAAATTGACCTCATTGATTATAAACCCAGTGACTGGCAGACTTATATTTCATTAACTTTACGGACCAAATGTCTGTATATCCATTTTCTACCTTTCTGAGCTAGGCAAGTTGACTTCTCCAAGACCTCATACGTGTCTCCACAGTGTATTTCCTTAAGGTGGGTGGATGTTTGGATAAAGTGTTTGAAAATGTATGCTCCATCTGCGCAAATGAAGTGACTCAGTGTTTTCTTAAATTAGCATTTTCCCTTGGATCTCATTTAAATAGCAGTGTATGCTGTGCTTTCAAGCTCTCAGAAATTGGAATCAAACCATACCGCTGGCCCCTACAAGTGACTGATCCAGAGCACTGATAGAGCACAGATTCTTCTAGCCGGAGCTGTGTAACTTGGGGAGACAGGAAACGACTTAATCATTAAAAGTATAAGTAGCATTAAAGAGACAATGACTTACCACGCTCCATTCTGTACTAAACCATTTAGCACCACAGGGTTTGAGGTAGCAGGATTGCTGACTGGGAGGTCTTTCTAAGAATGAACATTCGTGTGGATCTAACACATCAAAGGTGGCCGGATTCTTCCTTATACAAATCACTTCCCTCTGTTGTGTTCCTCTCCCACATTCAATTGAGCACTACAAAAGGAATGAGTACCATAGGATGAGAAGCACTAGGTAAGATCATTAGGCACATATCACTTGCACAGGGCGGGCAAGCTTATCCACCAAAGGCTGCAGAAGAGGAAAAGACTTAAACTGCTCATCATCTTTTTCTTCATTATCATCAACATCACCTCTAGCATTTCCATAGCACCTTAAAATTTACAGGTCACTTCACACTTTAGCCTCGTAACCTTGGGAGGTAGGTGCTATCGTTATCTCCCTTTTTCAGAGGAAGAAACTGAGGCAGGCAGAAGTTAGGTGATTTCTCTGAGGTCATACAACTAGTAAGTATTTGAGACTATATTTGAACTCAGATTTCCCTGTCTAATGAGATATCCACTGCACCACCTAGCTAAATTAGGAGTTGATTTAGAACAAGGAATAAGTCCTACCAAGATAACTATTGAAGATCAGAGTTGGTGAATTCCAAGGGAATGTTGGAAGTTCCTTCACCTGTGTGCATAAGGAATGCATACTGGGATGCAGTCAGAACAGCTGCTACTAGGGAGGAGGAGGGGAGTGAGAGGCCATGGAAATTTTTTTCATCAATTCAGGCAGACAGCCCTGGAAGTGGGAAGTGAACCAAAGAAAGCAAGGAGAGGGCAGAGGAGAGTGAGGAACCTGGTGGGGAAGAAGGGTCTATCTTTAGCACAAGCCAGCCTGGTGATAGAGATCAGAACTGAACAGCCCTGAAAGCTTATTTAGTTTTTTGTGTATTTAAAATTTTTTAGTTTAGAGACAATAACATGGTTCTAAACATAAACTGTTCTATTGATCCACACTTTAAATTAAAAACAGGGAAAATAAAACACATTTAATCAATACAACGATCAATACAACAAATAACTTTTATATTTTGACTTGGGAATTACGAGTGAAAGAGGAGGGAAACGTACTCAAGAAGGAAAGAGACAAAAAAAAAATACATAGTTAGATGCACAGAGACCTGTACATGTGGAAAAGAAACATCCATACCTACGGATGTACATAGGAAGATTAATATGAACTAACACCTTTATCTTATGCCTTTTAAGAAACTGCTAACAACAGATAGGTATTTCTTTGTCCAAAGTATAGATCCACATGGGATATCAGTTCTTGGTACCTGGGATCAGAGGATTATAGATTTTTAACTGTAAAGATGACCTTAAAGGTTATCCAGTCCAACTCCCTCATTTAAAGGTGAGGAAACTGAGGCCCAAGAAGTTAGGTGACTTGCCCAAGGTCACATATAAACTAAACGGCAGAGCTAGGATTTGAACTCAGGTCCTCACACTCCTGATCCCTCACTTGTGATCACTTGAAGTCTGGGCCCTCGACTTCATTTATTCATGTGTCTGGTGATGTGTCTGGGGTCTGAATTAAATGAAGTCAAGGGCCCAATCTGTTATGTAGTCTAAAATTCCTCTTCTAGGCTTTGTATGAAAATTCCTTATGGATATGTGTCACAAGGGATCAGTGTAAAGGGATGGTATGGTGGTGACACTTATTATCAATTCAATGGGATGAAGCCCGAAGTATATGTATAACTCACTAGTTTATAGGCAGTGAGGCATTTGATATGTTTAGATCAATTTTAAAAGGACAGGAAGAAAAGGGGCTGGGTATCCTAAAGGAATTTTATAGGGCTTCTAAAATTGGAGGGGAGGGGATGTTGGAAAAGGTTTCTTGTAGAGGATGGATTAGAGTAGGGAGAGATTTGAGGCAGGAAGAGCAATTGGGAGGCTATTAGAATAGTCCAGACTAGAAGATATGAGAATCTGGATAAGGAAAGTGATGAGAGAAATTTTATGGAGGAAGAAATGACAAGACTTGGCAACTTACTGGATATGTGGGATGAGTGAGAGTGAAGAGCACAGAGTGAAGCCAAAGCTATGAACCAAGGTAACTGAAAGGATGGTGATGCTGTTGACAGAAAAGAGAAGTTTGGAAGAGGGTGGATTTGGGAGGAGAAGAGGGAGGAAGATAATGAGATTTGTTTTGGACATACTGAGTTTAAAATGTCTATGAGACAACAGTTTACAATGCCTAATAAGTAGTTTAAAGCAGGACTGGAGTGCAGGAGAGATACTAAGGCTGGATATAGAGATTTGGGAATCATGCAGAGATGAAAATTGAACTCACTCAAAGTCTAGTGAAGTCACTCAAAGAAGGTATGGAAAGAGAAGTGAAGAGGCCCCAGGACAGAGCATTGAGGGTATATCCACAATTAGGGAACTGATGTGGGTGATGTAAAGAAGCTGAGAAGGAGCATTCAGACAGGTAAGAGAACAATGAGAGAGCATTATAATAGAAACCAAAAGAGGAGAGTATCCAGAGAAAAAGTGGTCACTAGCCACAATGCTTCAAAGAGGAAAAGAAGGTTGAAGAATGAGAAAAGACCATTATATCCATCAGTTCAAAGAGCACTTGTAACTTTGGAGAAATCATTTTCAGTTGAGTGACGAGGTTGGAACCTAGGTTGCGAAAGAATGAAAAGTGGAAAGAAAGGAAGGAGGAGGTGATGAATTTAGCTGTGAAAGGTAGGAGAGAGTGAAAGGTAAAATAGCTTGATGGGATGGGAAGGTAGAATAAAAGTCTTTTGATAACAAGGGAGACTTGGGCATATTTATAGGCAGAAGAAAAGGAGCCATTAGTTAAAGTGAGATTAGGGGGAGAAAGGGGATGATTGAGGAACAATCTGCTGGAGAAAACAGGAGGTGATAGAAACAAGGTAAGGAGAACATTTCCTTAATGTCAGCCTAGAGGACAGGAGGAGACAATGGGGAATAACGTCAGGGAGTTTTGAGATGTAAAGAAGGAAAGGAGAGGGAGCTCATAGCAAATGGTCTCTATTTCTTAGTAAGGTATGAGTGGGAAGTTCTCAACTCTAAGAATGAGGTAGAGGAGAGACAGTTAGGTGGCACAGTGGATAGAGCGCTGGCCCTGCAGTCAAGAGAACCTTAGTTTAAATCTGGTCTTAGACACTTAGTGGCTGAGTGACCCTGGGCAAGTCATTTAATCCTGATTGCCTCCAAAAAAACAATGTAGAGGATAAGGTGGTGAGGGAAGATGGAGGAGAGAAGAGTAAGTTTGGAACTGAAAGTCCTTTCTTTGTCCATCTTTCCCTCTGTTTTCTCATTTCCATTCATGTCAGCCCTACGTCAACCTTCTGTTTAACAATCTCATGCCACCTTGCCTTTCCATTATGCCTTGATTGCTTCCTTTCTATTGTTAATGAATGACTTTTCACATTAGACGTGACTTCTTTCTAGATATTACTTTGCATAAATTTTCTGTTTTATTTTCTAGGTATATGTCCCCTTTACTCTCAAGAGTATGTAAGCTCCTTGACGGCAGGAAGGGTTTCCTTTTGATCTTTGTTTCCCCACAGCCTCGTATAGTGCCTTAATTTACAGCCAGAACTTAATGAATTTAATTTTAAAAACTTTTCGTTATATTTAGGGAAGAAAATGTAGCCACTGGAGACGTTATGGCATTGTTGAAAATGGTGCTACCAGTGCTGGTGAAGGCAGTAGTTGAGGTTGAGGAATAAAAAGGTGGAATTCAACTGGAAAAAGAAGACACTATCCAGTACTTTCTAGGCATATTCTATCTAGGAGAGAAAGATATCAGCTAGTACAAGCAATATAAAAAGGCAGATTTAACAGATAGGGGTCACAAAAGTATTCAATCATACTATATGATGAAGGGGAATATTTCTGCTATAGATAGTAATGGCAAACCAGTGCCTTCTGCAAGAAAAGGATTGTGTGCTGCTTCTGTGGGGAGTAAGGATATATGTATATAGTGGCCCAGAAGAGCAAACAAAGGGGTCAGACAAAACTTGGCTGGGACCAAAAGTCAAGAGTGAGAGGGAATTTCAAATAGTTAAACTTAATTCTGGGAAACTAGATAACAAGTGGTATTGGCGGACATAGCTAAAAAGAGGCTGTAAAAAGAAGAGAGGGGATAAAATGGAGAAGACCAATTCTAGCTGGTAGTAAGTCATCAAGTTTATTAAGCAATTAGGCATTTTGCTAAAGAGTACAAAGAAAGACTAAAACAGTCTTGTTCTCAAGGAGCTCTCAATATAATATTTAGACAACATCTAAATAACTATGTACATTCAAGATATACACAGGATAAATTGGAGATAATCCCAGACAGGAAAACACTTGCATTAAAGAGGAGCAGGAAAGATTTCTTGCATAAGGTAGGATTTAGTTGAGACTGGAAGGGAGAAGGGAAATATTAATAGGATAAGTAAGTGAATTATAACTAAGGAGAAGGGCCAAGCAAAGCCAGCCATGGATGGCAACAGCTCTCTAAAGGAAAGAAAGGGAGCATTTTGGAGAAAGAAGATATTAGTCCCATTCTAGATGAAACACCAAAACCAGAAGTAAAATTATGGTTAGGGACAGGAGAAGGAAAGAGTGGGACAAAATCGAAGGCCAGAGAATGAAAAAGGAAAGAGCCCATGAAAGTTTGTGAATATTCAAGACCTAAAAAGAAAAAAAAAAGTGTTTTCTGTTGTGGGGAGGAAGAAAGTTAAAAAAAAAAAGAGAGTATAATTGCCTTTGTGGATAGGGGATAGACAGGATTAAGCAGAAAGGAGAATGCCATCTTTTATAGTAGCAGGTCTTCCTAAGCCCGCCAACTATTTTGGATGGGTTCTGAGAAACTAGAGGTTGTGATATATACTATGCGTTATTCTTCTTTCATATAATGGAAAGGGCTGAAATTAATTTCATTTAACAGGAAGACTTGGTAGAGGAATATATTTGGGTAAGAAGTCATTTTAAATGAGAACCAGAAAATCTTGGTTCTAGTCTCAACTATGCCATCTAGTTGTATGACTTTGGGCAAATCACTTAATAGGAATTTAGTTTCTTCATAAAAAATGCGGGGAGGGTTAGATTAGATGATTATCAGGTTTTTTTTTCTAGATCAAAAAGTTTTGATTGTACAAATGTGATAAGAGAAAAAGTCAA